GTTAATTGCGTAGTAAGTCAGTCATTGAGTGCTCCATCTCATCACAAGAGCCTCTTCATCATCGTCAGCCACAGTATCAACAAAGTGCACCATGATGCCTTAAATGTGCAGTAGATACCACACTTCCTTGTAAAATGATGGATAATGGCATAGTGGATGTTTCCCTACTACACAAAAATTATAATGAGTTATTGAGTAGTGGGTAACTTGCAAGTGTGCTTGTACTTGTCACAAGAGTTTTTAAAAAAGGCTCCAGAAAGGCCGCTCTTCCAGCTTTTGCTGTGACTGCGCTGCGCGTTCCACGCAGGCCTGGAGGTTTTATACATATTGAAAGAAAAGGGCAATTAGGGTGAAAGTAATGCGCACACTAAAAGGGGTTATGAACCATCTCTAAGGCTTGGTGAGAAAACAGATGGTGTAGAAAGCAGACCCTGTTATGAACAGCCCAGTCAAATTTCGCATTCGTGCAGGGCAGGGGCGGCGCCAGGATGTTTTTACTGGGGGGGGGGGGGGGGGAACCACGAAAAGTGAGTTCCTCCGGGGGGGCAAGCTAGCTCTGCTCCTACTAGGTTTTCAATATATGCTTCCGGGCACTTGGGTGGGCATAGGGGGGGCAGGCGAGAATTTTGGGGGGCTCCAGCCCACCCTTGCCCCCCCCCTGGCGCCGCCCCTGGTGCAGGGCAAGGAGAGTTTGGAAATAGAGCACAAAGTTGCCATTTTTGTAGGTGCCCTCTTTTCATACAAAGCCTCTGCTTTCTCTCTTTGAAGCTCCCGAAACCTGCTGTTTGACGTTAAACACCAGATAACACGCAATTTTCTAACATCTGGCATGAACCAAGTGCGGCACTTCACTTCATAGTCTGCTAACATTACACAGTGAGCCACACTCATGTGTGGGAATCGCAACAAGAAAGAGTGATCGCATTTCATTAAGCACTCTAAAGGACATGAGGTGTAATGATGCAACTCCTTTCCCTCGAGCTGTTCATTCCTGTTTAGCTTCCAGCGTGTTTGTTATCATGAAAGAGGACAGAATGTGCGGCCGACTCCTGTAACTCTGGTAGTTCTTGATAGAGTTGAGAAATTTTTGCAGCAATTAATGTGTAAAGCAACAGACTCTGATACTGAAGTTATTCAATGATGTCTTGGCAATGTGGTCCATGACCCTTTTAAATTAAACTTGTGTGGCTTCACAGCAGTGAAAATTTTCCTGACCATGTGGTTTCATGCCACAGTGGCCTTGCACTGCAGTAAAATCACCTTAATTGGGATGTTACATGGAGTAAAATAAGTTTCTTAAGATGTTTCAAATACTATAAAATTCCAGAAAGTTCAAATTCGTGTAGAAGTGAGTTTGATTACTGTATAGTACTTGTCTGAATAAAAGTACTTAGATATTTACATGGGCCTATGGATCGAGCATCTTTAATCACTTGATTCAACCCATCAGTATGTGATTTCATGTTGCCAAATTTTTCCTCTGAATATGCGTTCAAAAACTTGGAGGACGCGTGAACTTCACTTTTAAAAGGGCCCTGCAACACTTTTTAGCATGGTCAGAAAACGCTGCCGATCGGTAGTAGGGGCTCCCGAAAACACGCGAGCCAAATATTAATTTTTTTTCTCTGAATATGCGTTCAAAAACTTGAAGGACGCGTGAACTTCACTTTTAAAGGGGCCCTGCAACACTTTTTTAGCATGGTCAGAAAACGCTGCTGATCGGTAGTAGGGGCTCCCGAAAACACGCGAGCTAAATATTATAGTGTAGTGCGCAGCCTGGGATTCACAATAAATTGTCAAAGTCAACTAAAAATTGGTTTCTATTCTGTTGACAAATCACAGAAGACGCTCCAAAATTACTCGTAAAAGCCCATCTATCCACCATTGGCTGATTTGAACATGGCACGCTGGGTCGTTATAGGGATCGCCGCAAGAGGCCGCTACTTGTTTGATTGATATGTGGGGTTTAACCTTCCAAAACCACCATATGATTATGAGAGAGTAGTGGAGGGCTCCAAAAATTTCGACCACCTGGGGTTCTTTAACGTGCAGCCAAATCTGAGCACATATGAGCCTACAACATTTCTGCATCCATCGGAAATGCAGCCGCCGCAGCCGGTATTCGATCCCGCGACCAGTGGGTCAGCAGCCGAGTACCTTAGCCACTAAACCACCGCGGCAAGGCCCGCTACTTGTCCACGTGTGCGCGCGCGATCACACAAAAAAAGTTGTTATTTGAAGAAAAAAAAAGAGAAGTGTTCAAGGTCACGAGGCGCGCGACGTTGTTCTTTGCCCCTGCCATCCCTCCCTGCTTAGCTTCAAGCGCTTTGTTCCATGATTACTGGAAAAAGTGTTTCAGGGCCCCTTTAAGAGTAAAGCAAGATAGACTGCGCCCCGTGCCTTCTGTATTGCTAGCCTGGCTTCAGGAAACGATCATTTGCGCATGCAGCACTGGCCATTTTGTATTATCCTGAAATGTCTACTGCAAGAAAAGCCCACTACACATCTGTAAGGCAACACGTGAACCTATGCTACAGTGCACTAGAAGACTTCTAGTACACTGTACCACTGCTCACTTTGTTGATGTTTCTGCTACTGGTGATGATTAAATATGTCTGAGCACTTTGTAATGGGCAGGCGTCTAAAATGCCTATGATCGTTGTGCAATTGGGATGTTTTGATGCCTGCAGCACAATTCCAGGCTGCTACCAAGCAGTATTGCGTGTTACGGTGACTCCTCCCACTACATGACATCCATATATATATAGTGTTTTTTCTTGAAGCATTTTTAAACATTGGCATGGCTCGAGCTGGGGTAGGATGCCTTTAGGTGAGATACTTAATTATCATCATGCAAATTAAGACAGCTGACGGGAGAAAAGTTTTTCGGCAGAAGGAAAAGTGGGACGTATGTGTCCCGCTTTCGCACAAAAGGTTGACACCAAACTGTGCTGTTTCTAATTGTGTGCTCATTATAGTCTGATGAGGAAAGCATGAAAATATAAAAATAATGCATTAAAAATTGAAGCGTGCACAAAAAAATCAGCACCCAAACTAGCTTACTGTGAGATGGCCATGTATACCTACATGAATGCAGAATGAAAAAAAAAAAAAAAACTGGCACAACAGATGCAATTGGCAAAGTATGGAACAACAGGGAAAGCGGTTGCTTGCTTTACCTGTAAAGTGGCTTATCTGCAGGCATTGCTTAATTTGGGGTACGGATGGTAGTATAGGCTATTTTTCGCATTTTGTGAACTTTACTTAATTTATCAACCAGAAAAAATATATTGGTATAAAGCTCCAAATAACATACGCCCCATTGACCTCTTAAATTAAGATAAGTAATTGTCGAGTTTTTTATTTTTATTTAATAAAAACCCAAAAGCCCTTATGGGCCTTATAATTGATGAGTGCCTTGATGAGGGCCTTCTGAGGCTACAAAAGTTTCTATGATAAATTAATGAACTTGCAATAGAAAAAAATATTAGCAGCTATTTCAGTCTGCTAAGAAGAATAAGGTTTTCTTAGCAAAACACAGTCCCTCTTTTATTCTCAGGACACCTTATATATTTCAGCTGAAGCGTATACGCATGAAGTGGCCTGTATTTTGAATTGTTGGTGGACTTTTTGAAAAATGGGACATAATTTTTTTTCTTATTGTTGGTTTAGTAACCAAACTAGTAGAAAATCATAAAGTCGCCATATAGTGGCCTTTGCCTGCAAACATATTCTAGCTCGCTAAACTGTGGAAAAGGAATGTTAATTTTTTAAATTTCAACCTTTACTGTATAGTGGCCTTTGCCTGCAAATATATTCTAGCTCGCTAAACTGTAGAAAAGGAATGTTCATTTTTTTATTTCAACCTTTACTGCTTTTGGCTTAAATTTCAAGTATCTTTCCTGATTTGCCATACCTTTCCTTTAGATACTGGCCACTTAAGTCCCACTTTTTGTTGCTCCAAGCCCAATGAGGACTTCATCCTCCCATAACAAAACTTTCATATTTTGGGTCTATCACGTGGTGTTTTCTAATAGTAAGTAGTAAGGGAGTTGTTTGCATAAACACACATACATACACATGCACTCACACACATGCGTGCGTGTATGTAATGCTTTTCACATGTCTTCTGAACATATGCATGCCTGCAAACATATTCTAGCTCGCTAAACTGTGGAAAAGGAATGTTAATTTTTTAAATTTCAACCTTTACTGTATAGTGGCCTTTGCCTGCAAATATATTCTAGCTCGCTAAACTGTAGAAAAGGAATGTTCATTTTTTTATTTCAACCTTTACTGCTTTTGGCTTAAATTTCAAGTATCTTTCCTGATTTGCCATACCTTTCCTTTAGATACTGGCCACTTAAGTCCCACTTTTTGTTGCTCCAAGCCCAATGAGGACTTCATACTCACACACATGCGTGCGTGTATGTAATGCTTTTCACATGTCTTCTGAACATATGCATGTAAGCCGCCTAAGAGGAGCAGGTAGAATGAGTCAACGGTGGTATCGCTCATAAACGTAATAAAGGCGAATATCAGTTTTTAAAACTTCCCGCTTCTATGTATCGTAGATTGAAGCCAGAGCGCATGCTTGAGCGGGTGGTAAAGTGGAGAGCAGACCAGCTCCCTTCTCCCGGAAGCCCATGTGTGTCCTAGTACACCTGGGAGATTCGCTCGCAGGATTTCAAGCTGGACGGTTGTGCCCTCGCGATCTCCGACTTCAGCGTAGCTCCCGCCGACTGGTTCGCCCTCCGCGGTCTCCTGACGCCGTGTAGCTCTCGCATTGTGGCACCCCGCCCTTGGACTGCTTCGACCGGATCCCCACTTTCCTATCTCCTTCTTTTTCCTCTCGTTGGCTGTCTTCTTCTGCTTCTACTTTCCTTCTATCCTTTTTATCCCTCCTTCACCCCACCCCTATAAGGCACTGCGCCGTGTCGCCTGAAGGCAGACAGAAATTAGGTGCCTTTTTCCTCTTCATTGTAACCACTACCACCACCACACCTGCTATAGCTTTGATTGCTGCCGTTCCACTTGCTTTTGAAGCACATCCTGTGCCGTCCTCGCAACTGGTCGTGGTCCCGTGACCTCTCCGGCTTCGGCACGTCGTCTTACAATTAGTCGCATTGATGTAAGTATAGGAAACATTTTTTGTTTTTCGTGGCCTATTGCCGAGCGCGCACGAGAAAAAACCGTGTGTGGGTCGATCCTTGTTTATGTGTCCCTCCATATGTTTTCCTGGCTGCTGTTCATTTAATATTCTCTGTGTCATGTGCTGCCGACTCTAAACATTCTTCCGGAGCGCCCATAAACTAAAGACAGTCTTTTTCGAGAGGTGAATTTCCCGCCGCCTGCTTCTTTCTGAGTATGCATGCATGCTTGCGGTGAAAAATAGAGAGAAAAGAAGAACGACGTCTGTGTTGCTGTTTCGTGTTCTGTGCTTTCACCTTATTGGCCCCCTTTTCTGTAGCCGGAGCGTGGTGTTCGCCTAGCAAGTTCAGATGCATAGAGCTCTCAAGTGTCTTGTCAGGACATCCTCGAGCAGATACGCTCCCCTTCTGGGGTCCAAAGGGCCCCCGATAAACTCCGTGTCGACCGCCTTCTATTCAGTCACACAGGTACGGCTCGAATTTCGCATGTGTGCACGCTTTTATAGCGCTTGTATTGCGGTTGTAGACACGTAGGGAAACGTGCGATCGGTCCTGTTTCTCCCTCGTGTTTAGTCGTGTGGTGCAATATTCGTTAAAAACCGAAACAAACATTCACATTCGTGGTACATTCGATAAGAACTTGCTAAGATCTTCAGACGTAAAGGAACGCGATGAAAACACTACAAGCGCACCGCACAGTACACTTTTCCTGCTTTCTCAGTAGTCTGATCGGGCGAAGCTGTTAGCAGGTGGATGATTTTTAAAGAAACACTTGCGGGTAGATGGAACACTTGCGTGCCAGGTGTGTTTGAATAAACCATGGCCTGAGCCACTCGGGTAACGCGAGTTCAGTGCACACTGTATCTGGTACACTGCCTTCAAGAGGAAGTGCTGTAGTCAAGCATATGGGAAACAATGGCAAAAATGTATTTAAAAATTATCTCGGCTCATTTCTTTTTTGTTTTCAATTTGCGCATTGTGAGATGCACTCGCTAGGAAATTTGGGAGGCTGTGGTGTTTGCTTTATAATTTATTATGATTGTTTGAACATGAGATTTAAAGTGATTAGAGGAACATTAACTAGCGTGGCCTAGTCAATTACAGTTCTGGAATGCAAGTTTATTGCACACAGGAACCAAAGCAGAGGCCAAAGGCTACATGGCCTAAGAAAAGGCATCTGCTATTCTATTTCATGCCAGCCCAGTCAAATATACAAAAGATCATATTATGGCCATACATTTGAATACATACTCAGCTACCTTTATGTGAGCAGTGGGAGAAGCGAATGTTAGTAAATAACATGAACTAAAACTGAGCATTTGTGTATATATTCTTCAGCATAAAATGTCATATAAGTATTAAAGGGCCACTAATGAGAAAATAACGTTATTCATAAATTAATCTTCCACCATGCCAAAAAGTGCCACCATCATTGCTGCTAAAAGGCACTTGGTAAACCCAGAAAAGGTGCAAATGGTAGGCTGTGGTTTATGATGATGCAAAGTTTGTGCACAACGCCATTGGGACATTGTGCACTTTTACATTTTCTTTACCGCTGTCAAACGTAACAAAGTAAACCATTCATGAATACTATCATTAACTTTAATTAGTTGCAATCTTGAACATTATATATATCCTCCCTTTGCAGCAGTAATGAGCGGTCATGACCTACATCGCTTAGCAATAGGTGAAAGTGGCAGATACTTTCGCCTCTTGTTTTTTTTTTTTTTTTCACTTACGCCTGTATTTTTTTCTCTACCTGTGGTGTTGAACTGCACATCATTGGGGGCTGCATGAGGCTTTCTAATAGTAACACTTTCCCAATCCTCCACTATATGACCACACTGGCTATGTTGTGCCTTTGTGTCTCGCCTTTCTTTGCTGCTGATGCCTTCGCAGATAATGTGGCTTATTTGAAGCCGGTCACGTGGGAATAGAAGCTTAATTCAATGAAAGTATTTTGATGACCATCTTAGAAGACAGCCCTGTTAAGTTTGCTCAGAAACTTAAGGTGACGTTTTTGTCTATGAGGACTTGGATGACGACGACGAGTGCCATACATATAAGCAATCTGGAAGCATTTGTTTCACTCAATTTAGGAAATAAAGCAGCGGTAACGTCTTGCTGACTTAAGTACCGAGAAAGGAGTTAAACTTACTGAGTAAAAATGTTGGGGTACAGTTTTGATCAGACACGAAGAAGAAAGCTCACAAAATTTCTGGAAAATTTATTGCAATTTTTGGCACTTTTTTGCAGTAGAGAAAGAATTGATTGATTGATTTGTTGGGTTTAACGTCCCAAAACCACTATTTGATTATGAGAGACGCCGTAGTGGAGGACTCCGGAAATTTCGACCACCTGGGGTTCGTTAACGTGCACCCAAATCTGAGTACACGGGCCTACAACATTTCCGCCTCCATCGGAAATGCAGCCGCCACAGCCGGGATTTGATTCCGCGACCTGCGGGTCAGCAGCCGAGTACCTTAGCCACTAGACCACCGTGGCGGGGCTAGAGAAAGAATTAAAGGAGCCCGCTAGTATCTAGCTAATTCGTTTTATGTGTAAACATAGACTTGATTGCGTTATCAAGCAGCCACAAACTGAGCACCAAAGCTTTCGCTGAGCCACTGGGAACAAATATTTAAAAAATGCTTTAATATCTATGACATTGCACTGACATATTACTGTGAAAGTTATGGTGTGAAGTCAAGCGAAATTTTTACTTTGACCTCTATTGTCTCTTCATATACTCAATAGATTATCATGACATTAGCAACAATGATGTTAAGATAATTTAGCATGTATCATCAGTGCTCATGTGTTGCTGGTTTAATGCTTCGTCTGCTTCAGTTTTAGAGGTTGTGAACAGTAGTTGTGGTCGGTTTCCAAGGCCTGTACATACGCTAAGTTATGTAGACATAGCAAATGTTCATAGGTGGAGTTTTGATGCTGCTTGCTGTTCTGCTGCATCATCTGTTTTGCTGCTTCTGTGAATCTGCATGATATCGAGGCTGTCATAATGGAGGGCTCAGAAAAATCGTATGACAACCCTGAATCCTTCCTGCAGCTTTTAAAGTGAGTAAAGTGGCTCAGAGAGTGTGTTTCACTGCTCCGGAAACATTGCAAGGATGCTGCAGCTTGTGTAGCATGTGTCCAATCAAATTGATGCAATCTACAATTCATTATAGAGCTCGAATTCACCTAGAGTTAAAAAAGCAAAGGCATAACCTGATATGCAAGAAACCAATTAATCAGCCAACACTGAGAGGTAAAGTATGGGAATTCAGAGTTTGACTTCAGAATAGATTCTCTGATCTAGTAACCGACGTTGGTGTTTACACAATGAACTTTAATCTTGCTAGTAACATCAAAAAGTGTGCAATGGAAGTCAGAGATACAGTCACTAGACAGGACACTAGCAAACTATCCCAGGAGATAAAGAGCCTCAAATGCAACTGACAAAATAGAGCTAGTGGAGCTTTTGAAGTTAATCAATAGGCGTAAGGTAGCCAACATCAGAAGAGAGAATTGAGCAGGCTGTGAAACGCAGCAGAAGCCTAAAATCTGTGAAAGCAAGCTTGTGCATAGGCAAAAACCGAATGTATGGATTAAGGGACAAGGGAGGCAATGTCATAACGAATGTAGATAGGATGGTTCAAGTGGCGGAGAAGTTCTACAGAGCTATACAGCATAGAGTTTCCTAAAATTAACTGGAGGGGACTCTGGCGTTGCGATCGTTCAGCGACCATAAGGATGATGGGTAGTATACAGATTTGTCTAGTCTTCGTACTTGCGAGCAACGAATTGTACTTGAGGCTTTGTTTATTGCTGGTTTCGGTTTCGTTTTGAAGGAAAGAATGAACCATTTGAACTTTGTGACTCTATTCGGAATAGTAAGCCTAAAAGAATAAGGTGGTGAAGCGCTACCACTGAACATTTGTGGATTTTTGTTTCGTGAGAAAACAGCTCCAAGCCACACGAACACACACAGAGCCAGAAGCAGACTAGAAGTATGAAGATTAGGCAAATACGTGTATTACTCATCATTCCCATGCTCGCTGAAGCGCTGTGCGTTGCAGCTCACATAGACACCAGGGCCAGACTTCCCTCTAGTGTATATTAGGAAACTCTATGCTATGCAGAAACCGAAACAACCAGGATGATATCATGAGAAGCAATAATAGCCCAGAGGAATTCGACATTCTTCTAATAACGACAGGGGAAGTAATGAAAGCCTTAGAAGGAATGCAAAGGGGCAAAGCCGCTAGTGAGGATAAGGTAACAACGGACCTGGTGAAAGATGGCAGAGAAATTGTGTTAGAAAAACTGGCCACCTTATATTCGAAGTGTCTCTTCGTCTTTAAGGGTACCAGAATCCTCGAAGAACACCAGCGTCATATTTATCCATAAGAAAGGAGATGTCAAGGACTTGACAAATTATTGTCAGTTCTCTACAAACTATTTACAAAAACAATAGCTAATAGAATTCAAAGAACATTAGAGTTCAATCAACCAAAGGATTGAGCAGGATTTCATACAGGCTACTCTTCGATAGACTATATTCATACCATCAATCAGGTGACAGAGAAATGCATGAAATACAACCAACTTCTATACATAGCCTTCATATATTATGAGAAGGCGTTTCACTCAGTCAAGACATCAGCGCTGATATAGACACTACGGAATCAGGGCATTGACCAACCCTACGTAAGTATACTGGAAAAAAAATCTGCAGGAGATGCATAGCCACCATAATTCTCCATAAAGAAAGCGACAGAATCCCAATAAAGAAGAGTGTAAGGCAGGGAAACGCGATCTCTCCAATGTTATTCACTGCGTGTTTACAGAAGGTTTTCAGTGCCCTAGATTAGGAAGAGTTAATGGAAAGTATCCTAGTAACCTGTGATTCGCTGATGACATTGCCTTGATGAGTAACTCGGGGGACGAATTACATCTCATGATTACTGAACTGGACATGGAAAGCAGAAAAGTAGGACTGAAAATTAATATGCGTCAAACTAAAATAATGTTCAAGAGTCTCGGCAGAAAACAGCGCTTTGCAATAGGTGGAGAGATGCTGGAAGTTGTGAAGAAATATGTCTACTTAAGGCAGATAGTAACCGCGAAACTGAATCATGAGAGTGAAATAACTAGAAAAATAAGGATGGGGTGGATGATATTCTGCAAGCATTCTCAAATCATGAATGGTAATCTACCACTATCCCTCAAGAAGAAGGTATACAACAGCTGCATCTTGTCGGTACTTACCTACAGAGCAGAAACTTGGAGGATTACAAAGAGGGTTCAGCTTAAATTGAGGTTGATGCAGCGAGCGAAGGAAAGGAAAATGACAGGTGTAACCTTGAGAGACAGAAAGAGAGCAGAGTGGGTGAGTGAACAGACCGGGGTTAGGGATATCATAGTTGAAATCAAGAAACAGAAATGGACATGGGCCGAGCATATAGCGCGTAGGCAAGATAACCGCTGGTCATTAAGGTTGACTGACTGGATTCCCAGAGAAGGCAAACACGAGGGGGAGACAGAAAGTTAGGTGGTCCAATGAGGTTAAAAAGTTCGCAGGTATAACGTGGCAGCAGAAAGCACAAGACCAGGTTGATTGGCGTATCATGGGAGACGCCTTTGCCCTGCAGTAAGTGTAATCAGTCTGCTGCTGCTGGTAATGATTATAATTTATTACACTAGCTTTTTATCATCCAGTTTCAGTACTGGGCAAGGCAGAGTGAGAGTTAACATCATTGTGATATCCTGTTTTCATGAGATATTTTTCTGTGCTATGATCTCACAACGCATAAATTTTAGAGAAACAAGGCCAAAACTCATTTTTGAAAGTCTGTATCGAGGGCACTCTGAGTCTTGCCACTACATGTTATTTTTAGGCTTTGATATCTCAGTACCTGCATTTAGAACAACTAATAGACAGTAAAATAAGTCATTTCAGTAACCCTTTTGACTGGCTGCTGTTGGCAGCATTCAGCATTAGAAATAGTTTCCCGTAATTCTGTAGTCGTAACCTTGACTTTTTAGATACTGTAATTTGATTGTAGTTGTATCTGTGATACTTCGAGTTTCTAGTGAAAACGAAACAGGTAATAGTATTCACACATGTTAGGCATAACTGCATCTAAATACCTGTCTTTTATTCATATGAGGACTGCCAACATTTGAGATAGGTTGCAGCTAAAAAATTCGGAAAAGAAAAACAAGTGCTATTATTAGGTAATTCCACTAGAGATTGCACATTCATGTCTGGTCAATATTTTTGGTTTGAATGGGTTTTTTATATGTTATATATGGGCAAATCCAAATTCCTCGGAACCGAAAGAAAAACGCACTCAGTGGGCCAAAAATATTTGAAGGTGGCGGTGTAGGTGTCCAATTGTTGCTCACCGCAGTATTTTTCACTTTTAAGGCTGAATTTATCGTAAACTATAAACATGGTGACCAAAATTTTTTCTGTTTTAATATACAATACTGTGAACTACTTTCACACTTTCTTGATGCTGCAGTAACAGTTATCAAAAGAGATAAAATGGGAAAAAAAAAGGCAAACATGACCCAAATGAAAAAAAGTTTGCTAACTTTGATGTGCCTTAAGGGTGCTTGATATCTCGCAAAGAATCGTTAGACCTGTCGCAAATAGAAAAACACCTTTGCAATATTTCTGTAAAAGATAGTTTTTCTACAAGCAGCATAAAAAAAAGACCTCAAAAAGCGAGTTTTTTCAAGAAAACCCTTTTTCAAGAAATGAAAAAAAAACTCTGGTCTCAATATTGATGGAAATTTTTGTCGAAGAGTGCTTATGTTAATGAATACATAGTTTAAATATCTAATATGTCCTCATTTGCTTTGTAAATAAGATATAAGGGGCAAAACTCACCCTTGCTAAGATGGTTATCAGCACGCATTATGGTTGTTATCAGCTCATAAAAATTTACTCTGCTGAACTGTTAGCAAACTTTTGGTAAACATGGTAGCAAACTTTTTAAATTTGGATTGTGTTTGCCATACGTTTTGTTCCTTTCGATGACAGCGTCAAGAAACGGTGGAAGTAGTTCCCAGTATTGCATATTAAAACAGCAAAAAATTTTTGACACAACATTTATAGTTCGCGTCAAATTCAGCCGTGAAATCCAAAAATATTGCGGTGAGCAAGAACTGGACGCTCGCGCCACCACCTTCACACATTTTTTTGCTGTTTCTTTTTTTTTAAAATAAAATTTTTCGTTCTGTGCACTTTCAATGTGCCGACATACCATACAAAAAACCCAGTCAAAACAAAAATATCGACCAGACATGCACACTCGATCTCTCGTGGAATCACTCAACTGTTGTAGTTATGGAGAGACCAAAAGTTTACCTTAACATAGCATAAAAATTTTTACTCTATCCAGTATATATAATGGAGTCTATTGCTTCGGTAAGCAGTTATAAAATCCTGAATGAGAGAGATTCATCATGTCAAGATTTCACAGGAATGTGTTAGCTTTAGACAAGTAAATATAGTTCTGTGAAGATTCATAGAGAATGGCTTATTTGCAGAAAGGCAGGCCTTATCAATAAGTTATCCTGGCTTGCTACTCTACTGTGCCTGTGCTGTTTCATAGATGTGCTCAAGTGTTCAGACTATGAAATTTACTATATAATGACAAGCAATCGTAAAAAAGCAAGAAACCTGAATCTGTCATGTGTTTACTGATAAAAAAGTTCTTGGTAATAGTGACTGAGCTTGCACCAGACACTCCTTGTTTGTTAAAATCTTTTCTATAACATATGATTTATAGTTATACTATATTCAAGAGGCTCTGCCACAGTTTTACTGATGTTTTTGCTCTAAGGCTGTTCCCAGAATGTCAACAACTATAGTGAAAACTGTCAAAAATTGCAAAAACTGCAATGAAATGTTGTACATACAAGCAATCTATTCATTCAGTAAGTTCCAAGATTCGAGAAAATACAAGATATTCTCATCTCAATTTTCGGCATTCTTCATTCTCAGCTTTCATACTTTGTCACATTTCACTGTGCATAAAAGCACAACATCGCAAGAAATGTCGAGGCACATGAATTCATTGAACACGATTTCTTACGAATATGTTCAGCTCTCTGTCATTAAAGAGACATAATTTGATTTCAAAACGTACCGACTGATGACCAATGAAATCAGCCATTTAAATAATGTGCCATTAGATGTGAATGAAATTGCAAAATGTAGGAAGTTATGATTGTTGCTTTTGTAATTTATGTTCATTTCATCTATGGGCCTTATTGAAAAAAAAGTAGATAGTTAATGAATTTCACTAAGCATTCAGAGATGATAAGTATGAATGTAAAAACGAGAGAACTACGCCCTCTTCATTGTGTTTGCGTCATGGTGGTGTAGCGGTTGCGGGGCTCGGCTGCTAACCCGAAGGTAGTGACTTAAATGCCAGCTCTGTCGATTGCATTTCAATGGAGGGGAAATGCTAGAGGCCTGTGGACTGTGCAATGTAAGTGCACATTAAAGAACACCAGATGGTCAAAATTTCTGGAGCCCTCAACTACAGTGTGCTTCATAATTATGTTGCAAATTTGGGGAGTGAAATCCCAGATATTATTATATTATTATTGATTACGCGTTGCTGGAGTCAAGCAGGGGAGCAGCAGAGAAAGATAAAAAAAAGTTACACTGCTTTTAGAAAGTTCACTTTGGATCACTGCTTGCCAAACGTCTAATACCCAGACACCTCGGGAGGTGGCACAAGTGCAGACCTAAACATTTCTTACTTTACTATACCTCCTTCAGCGCTGGTGGCTATGTTTGTGTATGTAGCTTATTTATTCCAGTTGTGTCAACTTGTGGTGAAAAAAGAGCAAGATACATTGCTGAATGAATGAACTGAACTTTTGCTATCGTCAATATATGTCTTGACTTAATATTAGTGTGTTATGCATGGGTGCAGCCGATCACTTTTGCAAATGCACTACAATGTTTAATGAGTCTTTCGACATGCCACATTTCAGCACCAACATCATGATCAGTACTTTTATTTTCTCGAAATGAATGTAACCAAAAACAAATGACCCACACATTTGGGGCCTATGATATTCTTTTTATGTCAAAATGGAGCGTGTGTGAGTGCAGACTATTTTAATATTTACTTATGTGCTAGTTAGAATTATTGACTGAAACTTGCGTGAAACTACACATTGGTTTAATTTGTTTCTCGGAAAATAATATTGAGTGCCTTAAAGTAATGTTGTGTGAATTTGACATGCTCGTGGACTATGCATCATAACTCGCATCTCAAGGGGATGTTGTTCACTGTAGATTACATCAATGATTCACTGTATTGTATCCCTTGTAGCCCGCTTGTGCAGGAAATGATTACTTAGATTATTTGTTCAGTTGAAGGGAAGAGAAAAAGCTTAATTGCTTGACCATGTTCCTGAATGGAAATGCGCATGCATCTGTAAGGCGCACAATGTTTTAGTGCTCGTTTAATCAGACTTCAGCCTAATAGCTTTATGGGTACACCTACAGTCAGGTTTTCTACATTGCTGGTACTGTCATTATCATTATAATGTCTTTTGTTTGATTATGTATTTATGGCTGCTAACTAGGCACACACTGCTGTTGCATATTGGTTTCATTATTTTGGCTTATCTATTGGCTTTCTTGTATGTTTGACTCTACATTCTTTTTGCTTGATATTCATGAGACACTACTTAGACAGGTTGTTCATATTTGCTTTCATTTTGTTTCCTATATTTCAGAACAAGATGGCCAAGATGGAGGTGGCAAAACGAGTTCAAGGAATGCAGGACAGTGTGTGGTGAGCTGCTTTTTTAAAGATGTAATTATGACAGGCCATATGGCATTGGCGCAGTTCAGAAAGAGCAGCTCTGGGAAGTGTACAGAAAGACATAATCTGTCCTTAACCATGAAAGGTTTGGAGCATTCATATAATAATGAGGCAGCTGAATTTCACAATTGTCATGTGCAATGCTATATCTCGTGCCCTTATTCCTGTGTCCAACTGCGGATGAACCTCATCATGCATTAATTTTCCAGAAATTATGATGACAACAGTGTATGAACAAATTAATAAAATAATAATTCATTCAGTCAAGATGTAAATGCTACTGGAGTATTGTTTATATTCGTTCCATAGAGTTAATATACAAGCTCTAAGAGAAAAGATGGGCCGGGAAAGCTATAACCACCAAAGCACTGCCGCCTGGGAACATTGTCATTGGCGCCATTACAATAATTAAAGGAAGCGCTAAATATATGAGTGTAAAACACTCAAATTCTCGCAGTATAAATCATAAACAAGTGTGTTCACGTATAATAAGCAAACCTAAATTGTGTGATATTTATATCAAATTCTTTTACGAAAAACATAATGGTCAATTATGTGATTTGCTGCGTGCGGAAAAAAGCATTTTCCGGTTTGTTTACTAGATGGCGCCACCATTCTTGTACTGTACAAACATTTTGGAGCGGGGCCGTACTATTGCTGTGCGTCATGCGGCCGATTCCGCCGCCTCGCTTGCGTCTCATTATCTGCGTTTCTTGTTGCTATGAGCGAACAACTCGATTTTATGTGGCAGTCTTTTTCTGCATTGTAACAGATATCCACAAAACAGAAAAAAAATACCAGGAGTTAAGCAGTGGCCAGTGCGTACATCACCTGAAAGCTGAGTATCGTTCCATCATGGCGGCACACGAGTGGTTATAGATTTTAATTCATGGGCCCTATGAAGAGCTTTTCCTCTAAAGTCTGTATATCAACTCAATGATTCATTTATCTGGAGTGGTGTTTTGTTTGATGACTTGTGTTTTGTTAAAGGTAAACGTCAATGAAATTTGCTTTTGGATCAATTACTTTTAAAGTTGTAGTACGTCTAGCGAAGCAATATTGAAACGGATGCAAGACTTGCAATTATAAATCTTTTTTGCTGGGTGAGGAGGAGGGAAGAAAAAGAGATGGATAGACAAAAGATGACCAGAGACCTTGCAGTCTATGTAGAGCCCCTGTTTTAAGTTGAGATAACCATCGCAGGTAGCCAAGCATGAAGCTGGCGATATGTCTACCATTAGAAATTATCGTGGTCTCCAAATGGTATGAGTATTCAATTTAATATTACAATAATTGCTTGGGTTTAACGTCCAAAAACAACAATATGGTTATGACAGACTCCGTAGTGGAGAGTTAAAATAATTTGGCCACTTTGGATTCTTTAACGTGAACCTAAATCCAAGTACATGAGCCTCAAGCATTCTTGCTTCCATCAAAAATGTGGCCACCGTGGCCAGGGATTCAATTCCGTGACCAGCGGGTCAGCAGTCGAGCACCATACCCGCTAGACCACTATGGTTGGGCATGAGCATTCAATTTGTGCACCTTTTTCGTACAAGACTGATGTTCTACCTCAAAGCCGCCACTAGCTTTCTTATTAACAGTTTTTAACTATTTCCTTACTGCGAGAGCCCCACCACGGTGGTCTAGTGGCTAAAGTACTCGGCTGCTGACCCGCAGGTCGCGGGATAAAATCTCGGCTGTGGCAGCTGCATTTCCGATGGAGGCCGAAATGTTGTAGGCCCGTGTACTCAGATTTGGGTGCACGTTAAAGAACCCCAGGTGGTCGAAATTTCCGGAGCCCTCCACTACGGCGTCTCTCATAATCATATGGTGGTTTTGGGACGTTAAACCCCACTAATCAATCAATCAGTTCTTACTGCGACAAAATTGTCAACTTTGATTTTATAGGTCTTGGGAAAAAATTTTTTGCCAGTTTAAACTGTATACTGCAGTACACATTGCAGTAGACCAAATTATGCATAATAAAATGTTTTTTTCCAAAAAATATAAGTTGAGCAGCAAGAAAAATATTACAATGTAAAATTTAAAGTGTGGAGCTTTTTGTTCCCACCTTCTATGCACAGCAATAAAAAATACTTTTGCGCAAAAACATACAAAACAAAGAAAATTTAGAATATACATTTTGGAGGTAAATGACCCAAGAGTAGTACAAAAAGTATTAACTGCTCTGCACAGTGTTCCTATAACATACACAAAAAATTCGGCCTCACTTCGAAACGGACTTCGGATTTATTATAAAGAAGATATACTTTCGCATGGTACCATTCTGAGAGGGACCTTATTGATCGTGTTGCATGTAAATAATACTAACAAAACTTGCGTGCAGGGTATAAGAGAGCCCTTATTGTTGTTTCAGTTTTGTTAAAAAAGATCCACGTTCAGTGGCTGAAGGGTGGGGTGAGTGGCTAATATAATGAAGCGCTAGGAGATACTGACATGCATAAGCTTATCTTAACAACAATACTACAACACATGGTTTGACCATGTGACTGACTTTGGAAAATCAAACAAGTGAATGATGTTTAGAAAACAGGAAGCTAAAAGTTTAAATGTAGCCTGCGCCTTTGTGTTTTTTGTCTGCATGAGTCCAGTTCGTGCTTTTTTATTCTTCCTAGAAAGTATGCCCCCACCTCTGCTTCTTAGGATGGCATACGATCATTGTTTGATATGTTGGGTTTAACATCCCAAAACCACCATATGATTATGAGAGACGCCGTAGTGGAGGGCTCCTGAAATTTCGACCACCTGGGGTTCTTTAATGTGCACCCAAATCTGAAAACATGGGCCTACAACATTTCCGCCTCCGTCAAATGCAGCCACTGCAGCCGGGACACCGTAGCCGGGATTCGATACCGCGACCTGCGGGTCAGCAGCCGAGTACCTTAGCCGCTGGACTACCATGGTGGGGCGATCTTTAAAATGGTGATTTTTTCTCTGCAGTAACGTATCATACAATGAAAACAGTCTTCTGTATCGACTGATCTGCTAGCTAAACTGATAGTACCCCCGAGCAGCATAAAAGCATTGCAGAGCATTTTGATGTGATAAAATGTTTCCTTACTGTTCATGGCTTTCGTAGCTGGTCATTGTGGCAGTCACGGTTAGCAGAAACAAAAAACCAACTTCTAAAACACTGACATTGCACGGATAGGTGCTTTTTTTTAATGCAGCGGTACAAAAGTGCCCGTGTGCCGCTGCTAACCTGCGTGGTGCATCAAACCGGAAGCTGTCGTATCCCACAGTTCCCTGCGATTGCCTATTTTGCTGGTCACCTACTCTTCCGTGCCAGTTAACGTCATAGCATCCACATAATTTGTGCCGAAAATCGCCGTGCGAACAAGCCTTCCCTCTACACCTGGCACTCAATGCTTCTACTCTCGCTTCGTGTCGTGGGCGGGGAAGACTTGGCGGATTGGAGCGCGAAGATAGGCGTCGGGGCAATGACATCAGCCAGCAAAGGTGCTCTCTCAATGGATCGACTCAATGGCAAGCGATCCACATGACGCACGGAAGCCCCGTCGCGGTGGTCTAGTGGCTAAGGTACTCGGCTGCTGATCTGCAGGTCGCGGGATCAAATCCTGGCTGCGGCGGCTGCATTTCCGATGGAGGCGGAAATGTTGTAGGCCCGTGTGCTCAGATTTGGGCGCACGTTAAAGAACCTCAGGTGGTCTAAATTTCCGGAGCCCTCCACTACGGCGTCTCTCATAATCATATGGTGGTTTTGGGACGTTAAACCCCACATATCAATCAATCAATCAATCAACATGACGCACAGAACACAAAGATGATTCAGGAAGCACAAATTTTACTTGACACTTTTAGAGTCGACATCGTGAAGCTCACTGCTGTACAACAGCCAACCTCTTCCAGTAACGATGAGCTCTTCCAGATAAATGAGCAATACGATCTATATATCCCGGCAAAACATATCAAGGAGGAATATACAGCTATAGCGGAGTATCAAAACGAAGCTGTCAGCATGCTCACCGAGCTACGTTGCCGAGTCAGTCAGTTAGAACAGGAGCAGAATAGCCAGGCTCAAGTTAGTAGTACTGAAAACACAGAAGCAACGGCTTTCAGAAACGAAAGTCCCGCAAGATTTATGGCACCCCGATTGCCGCAACTGCAGATTCCAACGTTCACAGGCGACATCTCACAGTGGACAGGCTTCTGGGAGCAATTTGAGCAGCTCATTCACCTCAAAAACGATCTGATACCATCCACAAAGTTCTATTACCTGAAGAGGTTCGTATCCTGTGACGCAGCGACAGTCATCGCGGGTTTGCCCATGACCGAATCTTGCTACGCCGACGCTATATCTATGCTGAAGGAAAGATTCAGGGATAAAACGATTATCCAGCACCATCTGATGGCACTGAGAAATCTCACAGGTGTGATATCCGCCATTGACATCTGGGGGTTTCGAGGATTGTGCGATGCCACGCAACTGAATGTTCGCTGCCTCTGAGCGCTGAATGTGCCGACTCTGACGTATTCAGCTATGCTTGTCAACATCTTGTGACAAGCTTTTCTGGGGGTCATCGGTAATTCTTTCACGCGAGAAAAACAAAGCCTCACTTCGAAATGGCTTTCCGACGTATCTGCTGCTCAATCCTCATCATCAAGTGCATTAGTAAATGCAGCAGCAGCGTTCGACACAGAGCTTAACGACCTTTTACTTTTCATGTGCGTGGAGCTCAAAAGCAGAGAATAGCATGCATCCCCAAATCCAAATCCTGCAACGGACGATCGCACCGACGAAGTAAATGGTGATGTCCCCACGGCATCAGTGATGCATATTTTATCTATCGCAACGTTACACTGTTTCTTCTGTCGTACTGATCAGCATGGAATACGCAGCTGCAACGCTGGCATTCCTCTTGAGGTCAAGAAAGAGCAGCTGGAAAAAGACAACCGGTGTTTCCACTTCACATCAAAACGCCACC